TGCCTCGTTTGAAAAATGGTATCAGAATTTTTCGGATGCTATTTGATATGTTTAAGTTCATTCAGTTATCGTTCTTTTGCCGAAGTATGAAGCTTATATATCCATATCTGTCCTTATATTTGAAGATTCTCCACTTGTCATCGAACACTAGGAGATGCGATCGAAGTCCTTCTGAATCAAGTCGAAGAATTCATTATTTTGGCGTCAAGTCGACCACAAGCTTCAAAAAAACTACCAAGATCAAGTACTGTGGCAGATTACGAGTTGTGATCAAAAGTTTTGAGTGTCATTGCTGCGTTTTTGTCCGTTTTTAGAGCAATTTTCCTAGAGACAGATTTTTACCGCCCTTCGTCCGCCATATTGGATTGCTCATGAAAATAGTCTCTAATGCGCATGCGTCCGGTTTTTCCGCTCTGTCTTACGGGTCTATAAATTACCACATCTCTTTGATTATCTTTCTTGTACACCGGCACCCAGATGCCCTTTTTCCATTCTGCAGGCCAATAGCCCTCTGCGATACATCCTCTGTAGATTTTTGTTAATGATGGCGTTAAAGCCTCTCTCATCATATGAAGAATCTTGGGAGGTACATTGTCATGACCTGCACTCTTCTTTACTTTTAGGTCCTTCAGAGCCTTCTCCACTTCTCCTTCGCTTAACTCAGAGAAATCAAATTTTCGGCCATTTACAATTCGCCTATTACTGCATATGTGTTGTACACTTTCGTGATCCTCTAGCTGATCCTCAGTGATAACAGTTGAAAATCTCCAATGCCTTTAGCTACCTCGCCAAAATATTTAGCAAAGGAATTTACTACCACTGATTGATCCTTTATAATTTGCCCGTTAGATTCCAAGCTTAAAATATTGCTGTCCATAGCTCAAAATTATTGTATCGAGCCACCTTAAGATAAATGCCTGAACTGCCGCGGCGCGGGATTTGCTGTTGCAGTACTGAATGTAATTATGAATATTTAAATGAATTTCACCAGACTTGCATTTAAAGAAAAATACTATAAGTCGAGGTATCCGAGCCAATAGTTAAGAGGTAATAACCTTAGGCGCAGTAACCTATCCTTATAACTAAGGGTGTCTGATTTGCAAATAAACTTGGTGGCCCGTCTTTAAGTCTTTTCGACTAACATGAGGTCTTGGATTATGGATTGAGGGGCCCATACCTGGGATGCATAACAAAAATAACCACGCACTAAAGATGTGTATAACAAAATTAAAGTCTTAGTGTTCAGTAAAGAAAAGCAGTGAATTTTGCATACTAAGTAACCAAGCCTTGAAYCCTAATATGGAAGATAGGTCACGTGCAGTGTTTAAATTTTCGAATGAATATGGCTTGAATTATCGAATAAATATGACCAAATATGGCTTGAGTTATCGAATGAATATGACTTGAATTATCGAACGAATATGGCTTGATTTATAGAATGAATATTGCTTGATTTATAGAATGAATATGAGTTCAATTATCGAAAGAATATCCAGGTGAATTTATCGAATATTGCGACTAGTTTATCGAATGTATTGAACAAAATCACATACATTTTAGCTTTATTTTCAATATTTTGAAATTATCAAATGCATACACACGACATTGAATATTTACGCATTTCGGCAACCACAGTCCCAGCCGGGTAAAATTAATAAACTCTGTTTAATCTTTGACAAGATAAACAAGACGCTCTTGGAGCGTGCACTGGGTTGCCCTATGTGCGGGTATGCTGGAGCTTATTTAACATATTAACACTTATTTATGTACCGCTATTTGGGGGTCGGGTGTACTTTGGAACATTTTAGGTGTATTTTTTCCAGAACGTCCGAACACTACCAGAGGAAGAGTGAATACTATCCCACAGTGCTTTGCGATTGTATAGTTTCACTATGTCGGCAAGTTGCTGCCTTGACGGAAAAACGCAACACGAAAAATAGCTGCCATATACAATCAAAAAATGTTAAGCTGTCAGAAACACAAAAAAGCTGAACGTTTATTATTTCAATGGCCTATAATTTTGCTAAATAAAAAACATAATTATCTAATTCTATGTGATGCTTGGTTCTAGAATTCTCTCGAAAAAAATCTTTATCTAGCGTGACTTTATAACTATAGCGTTAATTTGGCAGTGCCATGTTCAAGTTAGGCCAAAACAAAAGCCCGGCCTAAAAGCCTTACATAAGAAAGTTGAAGCTCAATAAGAGGCAAATATGCTTTAAAAACTCTTCTTTCTGAGCAAAAAGGAGCAGAAGTTGAAACAGTCTTCAATTCTGAAGAATATTTTGAAAGAAAGCTCTTGGTCTAAACGCCTCGGTGACTTGAACACAATGATCAACGTGCCAAAAAGTTCAATAAAATACTTGCTTTCGCAATGCACTGTGGGATACTATTCACTCCTCCTCTGGAACTTTACTGATGCGGTTTTGTAGACGGAAAAACAGCGTTGCGTTACTGACGTCACTAAGTGGCCCCGGTTATAGTAGTTGCACTGTAATTGATTCAAGATTCGAAGATATATAATCGTTCTCGTAGATTTCCGTTGGTATGTTCGTTTATCCTATTGAAAAATAAGAGTTTGTTGCTATGTTATTTTCAAGGCAACAGCCAATGAAATTCCATAGCATTTCAGGGTTTTCCAGAGCCTCCGATTTTCGATAATAATAATAATAATAATAATAATAATAATAATAACAATATTCAAGCAGGCTCACAGGCTCACATCAGCAAGGTGTTTTTCAGAGAGGCCCTGATATAAGGAGGCTCTGGGTACAAGAATGCTGGCTTCCGGTGTTTGGAGTTTTCCAGAGTCTAAGCAATCTCGTACCCAGAGACTGCGTTTCTTCCGGTCTGCGACGAAGAACGAGGGCTCTGACATAATCCATTTTTTGAGACCAGAATTTCTTGGACTTCCGTTATAAGAACGCATGCGTTCAAAGAACTCATCATAACTTAGTCCAGGTAGAATAATCTTTGTAGCTCTTCGTTGGATTTGTTCAACGCGATCTTGTAGATAGGATGGTAAATCTTCGCCGCAGGCCAGAAGAAACGCAGGCTCTGGATACGATATTGGAGTTTATGTATTTATGTATTTTATGTAAGAAATAAAGGATCTGGGTACAAGATTGGGGTAGTAGGACCCTAGCGAAAATCGCATGCATGCCTTTCAGCTCGTTTTTTAAAATTTAAAAGAGTTTGAGTGAGAAAATTAAATTAATGGTTGTTTTCTCCGAGTATACGAACCATTTCGCGAGTCTTGTGAGACAAAGATTTTGTACAAATAAAGACGATATGATGAATGCTATAAGCACTCCACTTTTTTTCCCCTTACTGAACTCAACCCTTCAAATCTCGCGGGATCTTAACCGGCTCTAAGATATTTTTGTTAATTATTTTACAGGTATAGTTTGGCGTACACTCGAAGGTAAGACAACAAATAGAGGTTGTCAGTGGGCTAAGCATCTGATACGCGCGAGCGGAGCACCATACTTAAGAAAAAATGGTAAACCACTTCCGTCCGTACGTCCGTGTACACAACGCAGGGTCTCAGTTGTTTTTTAACAAGTTTATCTGATTCATGTAAACTTTGTTTTTCGAAGACTTTTCGGTCGTTCGTGATTCAGTTCCGTATCTTTCTCGCGCATGAAAACAGATTAACAAAAATCGAATTAAAATCGAATCTCAAAATCTAGTATTTACTGCTTATGTTTTCAAGCTTATCGAAAAGTAGTTAAGGTGGCTGGACCCCCTGACGCTTGACCGCTACCTTCCACTTTTGGAACGCTGGTGCATAAACGTGTTTTATCCGATTGCAAATCTTTTTTGCGCATAAGTCACATAAAGATTGAATTAATGTTTGATGCAGTTTTTAGTGAGATCCTCGGACGTCATAACACGTGATTATGATGAAATATTTGTTTTCGTTTAGAAAATAATTTTAGCCTTGCAGAGCGTTCAACACTAAAATGCTTCGTACCACATAATTATATACTGGATGCCTCCATTTGTGGGGATTTTTGAAAATATCTGTCTAGCTAATTATGAGATATTTGAGATTATTTAAATATAGTGCATAATCTACTTCAAAACTAAACAATGGATTTCATACGGCCGAAATTAATATTTCAGGGCTATATATTCACAAAAAAAGTCATTGATCATTTAGTTTTACTCTGTATCTAGTTTTAAAAGGAACATTTTGAAGGTAATCGACTTATGCGATTTTGTGAAAACGTATAGTGCAGTAGACGGGATAAACATTTGATGCGCACTTTTCATCGCAGTTTTCTAGTCAATCTTACTAGATCTTCCATTATTCTAAAATTCGCTGATCATTTCTCTCAAAACTACGTCAGGATACAAATTAGAACTTAAACTAATATTACACAAAATTGCAAGACTATTGAACTCAATTAAAGCTGTCTAAAGCGAACGAGAAATACAGAAAACATTGATCGTTTCCCAACGATTTGATACTCTGGGAGTTCTATTGTTTGCTAATGACCATAACACCAAATTCTTTCGCACCATGCACGGTCTGATCTCGCTTGGCCGCTTTCCGATTTACTCCCGAAGCATGGTAATACACAGTTTTTTTTATTCAAACGTGGGACGTTTGTCACAACGGAAAAGCGAAAAAAATCTTTTCATCTTTCAGTTTTATCTAAATTGGGCTCCCCCTGCTATGCAGTGCCGAAATACATATTATGGGGTATTCTCTGCGGGTTCTCTGGCTTTTCTCCCTCTGCAAAACCGTGAGTTAGCCGTGCCCTGACTTAGGCAGCTGTGAGGTTATTGTCGAATAAAAGTTTTCTCTCTGCTAGAAAGGATGTTAAGTTAATGTAAGTTAAAATGTATTCTTTGGGTTAGTAGGAACGTGTCATCACTGAAGAGGAGAGAATTTGAAGGAAATTTGTAGAAAGGGTAGGGAAGTGTACGCTTTTTCACATCAGTGAATGGTTTTTACTGCCAGTAAGCTTAAGCTTAATCATGCTAATAAGCTCTAGGCAAAAGGTTGACTTTGCTTTCCAACTCGCCTGCACTTGTGACCAATGGCGCACCTATCAAACAGGTACCTTCTACTAAGGCTATATGTGTGGTCATTGATCAAAACCTTTTTGAAAGATTTGAAAGTAACAAATTAACGAGCTTTCTAAAAAAAATAGCTTCCTATAAAATACTTATTTCATTTCATTTCATTGCAAACAGATGCTGGTGCAAGAGTGCTCAGAGTTGCAGGTAAGCCGATAATAAAACACTATCTTTGAAGGCAAATCAATTTTGATATCAGCCTCTCGTGCTGGTTTTATTCCCCCATGAACACCTATCACCTTGCAAACACTAAACGAGAAACCCAGATTCCCTTCTTTAATTTTCAGAACTGAGCTGCAAAGTGGTAGTTCGCCAAGGATTCGAGAAATTTGTTCTTAAGTATGCAAGGAACAGAGGGAATAGAAGGCATCTGGAAAGAAATGTTTTGCCTCGATTCATAAGAGTATTAGATGTTAGTGAGGGCTGTCTGTGTTTTGTGCTTGAAACAAGCTACCTTACGTCACTCAATCAATTGTGGACGAGCTACAAGGATGGTTCACTGAAAGAAAAATTCAAAAAGGCTATCAATGAGATCGACGAAGTACGAGAAATGTCTTACGGAACAGAGATGGATGTATCTGTCATGATTGACGAGGAAGAATACCGTGAAGCATTCTGGGTGTTAGTTTGCTCCAAAATTTCTCAAGGTATGTATACAGGGTCAAAAGTAGTCGTTTTGTATTATGTCGTATTGGGGAGAGAGGGAGAGGGATTTTTGTGAAAATCAGTCAAATCTCTTGTCTCGTTTTGCAGGCGAGCTTCAACCGCGTGGTCAACAACGTCGTCATTCGCTGTCATGCGAACGAGATTTATCTGCCCTTGTCAAACCGGATTTAACATGGCAGGAGTGGATAATCTTAAACGAGACCAAGAACAAAGTGATCCAGGAGACAAAAAGAAGAAAAGATGCGGAAAAAGGAGCTGCAAAGCTGAGACCAGAGGTGAAACTGCAGAAAGTCGATGATGCGACAAAAGTGGAAACCGAGAAGGAAACTCCTAAGCTGCAAAGGCCTGATAAACCTGAAATGTGGACAAAGGTAGAGGAGGAAACACCATATGGTGAGATACGAAAGATAGAAAAGAAGAGTGATGATACATTTCAAAAATTAAATGAACTTCGCGAAATGAGTATAGAGCTCGTCTGGAAGTTAAAACGGCTAATTACCGCTGACGATCCTAAAGAAATGCAAACATTCCGCAAACAGCAAGAAAAAGAATTGCAAGAAGCTGTACGCGTAGGTAATAAGGAGAGAGAGGATATTGTCTATGAAAACTTAGGAAAGGCTTGTCAATCTCAAGGCAGGTACGATAAAGCAATTTTATATTACGTTATGCAAACAGAAATGGCGATCACGACAGAAGACAACACTTTCGTGGAAAAGGGGTATCGCAACTTAGGATCTGTTTGTCAGTCAAGAGGAAATTACCATAAAGCTACTGAGTTTCATGAGAAAAGCCTCACATTGGCTAAAAAGATAGGAGACAGGAAAGTCGAAATAAGTGCGTACTTGAATTTGGGAGTTTCCTACCTCTCCCTAGGCAAATATCATAAAGCCATTGAACWTTGTAAGAAAAGCCTAGAGATGGCTAAAGATATGGGAGACAGGAAAATCGAAATAAGTGCGTACTTGAATTTGGGAGTTTCCTACCACTCCCTAGGCGAAGATCATGAAGCCATTGAACATTGTAAGAAAAGCCTAGAGATGGCTAAAGAGGTGGGGGACAGGAAAGTCGAAATAAATGCGTACTTGACTTTGGGCGTTTCCTACCATTCCCTAGGCGAATATCATAAAGCTCTTGATTATTATGAGAAAAGCCTAGGGATGGCTAAAGAGATGGGAGACAGGGAAGGCGAAAGAAATGCGTACTTGAATCTAGGCGTTTTCTACTACTCCCTAGGCGAAGATCAAAAAGCCATTGAAAATTGTAAGAAAAGCCTAGAGATGGCTAAAGAGATGGGAGACAGGAAAGTCGAAATAAATGCGTACTTGATTTTGGGTAGTCTCCCCCACAGCTGCATTCAGTGTCGTCACGCAACGCTTTCTCCCCAGACTAGCGGCTGCTTTCCCAAGCAATCATTCCTTTCCTATGAATTACCCAATCACGGCTTCGTTCTCAAAAACCTGGAACCACTCGCGCCATATCGAAAACAACATTGGGTCGTTAGAAGAAGGCTTCGAGAGGAAGGCATCAGAAAGACGCTATACAAAAAAGCTAGAGAGATTGACAGTCATAATGTAAGACARATCAAGTCCACTGGAGTCCGTGAACGAGGCAAGGCTGTTCCTGTTCTCGAAGCGTAACAGAGACTTGGACAACATTCCTCTAACACAGGTATAACTCAGTATTAACAGCAGATTGTCAGTTAAATCAACGAATTAATCAAACTGACTATGAAGCTTTTTTAATCATGTCAGTGTTGTAAATATTTATTTTACGTAATATACCGTATATACCGTATATCAATCTTGTTGTATTTTGTGATTGTGAGATTACTTCTTGAGTACACAGAAAATATTATCAACATAAAATGTTATAGCTTTTATTCTTAAATTTTTAACATAACATAACAGGATGCACTTCTGCAGCATGCCCGGAGGCAGTATTCCTGAACAGGTGGCTTAACGCAAAAAGAAGGCTACGATCTGCAAAAATAATGTGCCACTTTCCCCCCTTTCCCCCTAGCAATGTTGGTCAAGAAAGTTTTCTGAAGCGGTTGGCTGGTAAAATGCATGCGAGACAACATTGCTACGGGGGGAGAGGGGGGATGGTCCTCCAGAATACTAGGTGGCACATTTTATTTCGCARAAGATTGTAGAGTTCGTAAAACGAACCCGGAAAAAAAAGCCAAATGAGAAAACAAACAAACAACTAGTAGAGGTGTAGTCTTCCTCGCATCCGTTTTTAGTGTCGGTCGTCACGCAACGCTCCCTCACTAAAAACGGTTGCGAGGGAGACTAGTAGAGGTGATAATATTCAATTCCAAAAGATCATGATTAGAAATAGTAGACATGTTAAAGCCCGGGTCGAAAGTTCACACCTAAAAAACATTAGTCCGCCAAAAAATTGYTAATATACAAAAGTATTGGTTTTATTTTAGAAATATAAAAATGTAAATAACCCCCTTTCTATAAAATAAAACAATTTAAACATTTAACATTTTTTAAGTAATCATTTTTATCTTTTATACCCGTGAGCAGCCCAATGTAGTCCTTCAGACTCTGGACATTCCTGGCAATAATTCCATGAAATGACTTGCTTCATTGTAATATAATTCTTCTATAATTTTTGAGAATTGTCAGGAGCCTAGAGGGTTTTGATTTGCCAAGTTTTTGGGCAAAGAAAATTGAATCTTATAGTTTTTAACGAATCGAAAATCTAACAAGCGCGTTCTTAATCCTACATTCAGATGTAGGTTAAACTGAAGTCTTGAAAGCTGTTTTGTACTTCTTTGATAGATCGCTGGACTAATATACACTTTATAGACTTTAAAAGAGCTCAATTAACGCAGGATTCAAACCCGTGACTTTGTCAACTTCAAAGGAAGACCGACGACGTCCTAAACCCTTTGTAAAAACTCCAACATTCCATCATTGATCGAAAAAAAAATTATACAGGGAGAACCAGGTGATTTCGTTTCTCTCATCCAGAACGAACATTTTGTTCGTAGCTCAATATTCCTAATTCCAGGTTTTCAGCTCGATAAACAACAACTTTTACTCGAAATAAAGAAAATAAAACCCATCCGTAAAAAGAATAATCAAATATCTTTTAGAAATAGCTTATTTCGTCATTGTTGGTGAAAAATAGTTCACAAGATATTACTTGGAAATTTTGACTGTGACAAGCAGTGCATTGCGCGCCTAGATTCCAAATTACGTGCACGTGAGTAAGTGGTCCTCCCGCGTGTTTAATATCATGTGACCCAGTGACTTGTGACACCAACATGCCAATCAGAACCATGTAGTTATAACCCATGCCAAATTTATTGGTGTCATGTGATCTATACTTTGCAAATCCTAACAAAAACTGAAACTACATTTAAAAAATACAGTGTTCAATATTGCGGTTTTATTTTGAGATTCAGCCTCGAACTTAACAGCCTCGTTTTTGAACCTCGTTTCCTGCCTTCGCGCGCTGCAGTAAATGTATATGTGTTTTTCGAACTTTTCTTCTTGTATTGAATTCACTGCTGTTGATATTTGCGTTCACGTATCAATGATTTGTATTTGTATATTTGAATTAGTATTCGTGTATTTGAATTTGCATTCGTGTATTGCACCTCTGGGCCACCGTAGAACACCCCAATTTCGGCGTGCAACTCGAAGACACAGAGTTCGCATGTTTATGAAAATTGCCGTCAGTTGTTTCAGCAGATCTAGAGTGAAAAGAGCACACTGAAAAAAAAAAACATCGAAATACAAGAGAAACCAACACGCAAGCTACATAACAGGCAGCTACTTAAAAGTAATACAATATTCAAATTCAAAGGTCATGATTGRAAATACTAGACATGTGAAGTACTTCACAGAATTCATGGTAGGAACGTTCAAGTAAAACTGAAATACCTAAAAACAATCAGTCCAACAAAAATTTGCTAATATACAAAAGTATTGGTTAAATTTTGTAAATATCAAATTGTATATAACTTTCTATAAAAATCTAACTTTCTATAAAAATCAAACGAATCAACAATTTTTTTGAAATCTCGGAAAGTGTTTACTCGGTATTGATAGTAATATAGATATCGCGCCTTATTCTAAGAAATCAGGGAAGTTTTCCTTACAGTTCCTGTTGGTGATTAAGCTTATAGTTATTACTTCACGCTTGAGAATTTTCCCTTTTGGTGCCGTTATATGTCATTCTGAGTCGACTAGGATTAGATTTAATTGTGATCATTGGTGACTCCAACGGTGATGAGGAATCCAAACAAATCGTCGATTATTCATAAGGTAAAGACTTTTCTTGATGCAAATACTCATTTCTTGGGTAACAAGAAGATCAAAAGATCAAATTATGTTTTGTTTTGTTTTTTGTTTGTTTTTTTTCGACTCTTATTCTTCTTGTTACAGTTTTTGAATCAGAAACTATTTTGGACGCAATTAAGCTTTGGACGCAATTAAGCAATGAAGCTTACTCACGCATGGGAATTTTTGTCTTAACAGTGTCTTAAGGTGCCGTTATATATCATTCCGAATCGACCAGGATTTTAGATTTATTTGTGA